GCCCTACACACCTTATTTTTGAAACTTGTCACATGGTTGTAGTTGGTATTTACAACTACCTTCTTCCACTGCCTCCCCTATGTTCCTTTGTCCTCAGCCAGGGGTGGCTGCCTACCGGTTGGGGGACTGAAGCCTTCTTTCCTCAAGGGTCTGGGCCATCTGCAGTTCAGCCTGAACCACTCTTACAGCTTCCCTTGGACTCTAATAACAGAGTGTGGTAGGACCAACAAACACACTGCAGGATCGATCACCTGTGTCCCCGATGTCCTCTTACTTCCGGGAGGCCTTTGCAACCCAGTTTCCTCTCCCTTATCCCAGTGCTCACTCTACCTCAAGTGGTCTGTGGTGAAGATTTCAGTCTCCACAAGGTGCTCAATGTTCTGCCCACTAGAAACACTCCCTCTCACTACTGCCCTTCAGGACATCCCAGAAAGGAGCTAGGGTACACAGCCAGAGTACACTGCCTGTCCACTCTCAGGCAGTGCCTGCGTGTCACGCAGAGCTATCTATCAACCAGGCCTCAGTCTTCCCCTTTGTAGCAGTGATCAGAAGGAATTCCCCAGGCGATCACACGTGTGGGCCAGGAGAGAAAAAGCAATATTAGTGGAGTGGGGACTGTGAGCATTAGCCAATCTTTGTAACCTGTGCCTTTGGAGGGCCTGGATCCCACAATAATTTCTTGCATGAATCCATCTGATACTCCACTTCTCTTCAATGACAGAGTACTACTGGACACACCTAGCTGTATGGCTTGATGGCTCAGCTAACAGTTTATGATGGGCAGCTCTCAGGTCACGGCAACTTAGTGGTCCGTGGTGAAAAAAGACTTCCATCTCCACAGACACAAAAGCAAGTCAAAAGTTTGTTTTCTCACAGTGAAGAAGGAGAGTGTGGCAGGCTTTGTTCCAAAACCCTAGGGATCTGTGCTGTGGCTCACTGATAGGGACCCTGCAAGAGGCTCCAAAGACTATTACTGTTGGCCACGGCCACTTCAAGCCCCATCTAAACCTGCTGCTGACTGGTGGTCCACAGTGATGTTTTGGTCCTAGAATTAAAATCAATCTACAAGGGGCTGGGGATACAGCTCAGTGGCATAAGCACCTGCCTAGCAAGTGCAAGGTCCTGAGTTCGATCCCCCAGTAACATCAAAAAAAAAAAAAAAAAAAAAAAAAAAAAAAAAAAAAAAAAAAGATTTAAATAGCTTGTGTGCATTTGAGATTTTTTATGCTTTATGTTGTATATTTGTGGCAAAGTGTGTAAGACTCACTTTGTTGGTCTTAGAAATGAATCTGACTCTAATGTTTTCCTGGAACAGAACTTATTCATAAGTCAATGACTTAATGTATAGAAGGATCCTATTTAAAGTGAATAAAGCCATTTACAATAAAAAAAAAAGATTTGAATGGCAATGGAACACCCATCTCTGACAAAACTAAACAAAAAAGGGGGATATAAACTAAGGTCCATTTTGTAGTGGAAATATATATATATATACATATATATATATATATATTAGGATAGATATACAGCTATTTTCTCTTAGTTCAGTGAGAAAAAAGGTTTATACTAATAGTGTTTAGACAAGATATCATGTCTACATCTTGTACTCTGAATAA